TCTCTTCAATAAATGATGCTGGGAAAATGATATGCAGAAGAATGAAACTAGGATGGGCATAGTGGCTCACGCCTATAATTCCAACACTTTGGGAAGTAAGGCAGGAAGACTGCTTGAGCCCAGGCGTTCGAGACCAGCCTGGGCAACAAAGCAAGACCCTGACTATTTTAAGTAAAAAAAAAATTTTTTTTAAGAAGAATGAAACTAGACCCCTATGTCTCACCATAAACAAAAATCAAATCAAAAGAGGTTAATGACTTGAATCTAAAACCTCAAACTATATAACTACTAAATGAAAACATTGAGAAAACTCTCCAGCACATTGGTCTGAGCAAAAATGTCTTAATTAATACCCCACAAGCACAGGCAATCAAAATAGAAATTGAAAATGGGATCACATTAAGTTTAAAAGCTTCTGCACAGCAAAGGAAACAATCAACAAAGTAAAGAGACAACCCACAGAATGGGAGAAAATATCTGCAAACTACTCATCTGACAAAGGATTAATAACCAGAATATAAAAGGAACTCAAACAACTCTATAGGAAAAAAAATCTAATAATCCATTTTAACAATAGGCAAAAGATGTGAAGAGACATTTCTCAAAAGAAGACATCCAAATAGCAAACAGGCATATAAAAAGATGCTCACTGTTTATAGTAGCAAAGACCTTGAACCAACCCAAATGCCCATCGATGATAGACTGGACAGGGAAAATGTGGCACATATACACCATGGAATATTATGCAGCCATCAAAAATGATGAGTTTGGGTCCTTTGTAGGGACATGGATGAACCTGGAAACCATTATTCTCAGCAAACTGACAGAAGAGCAGAAGATCAAACACCGCATGTTCTCACTCATAAGCGGGTGATGAACAATGAGAACACATGGACACAGGGGAGGGGAGCACTACACTCTGGGGTCAGTTGGGGGGAAATAGGGGAGGGATAGTGGGGGATGGGGAGTTGGGGAGAGATAGCAAGGGGAGAGATGCCAGATGTAGGTGATGGGAAGGAAGGCGGCAAATCACACTGCCACGTGTGTACCTATGCAACAATCTTGCATGTTCTTCACATGTACCCCAAAACCTAAAATGCAATAAAATAAATAAATGGAAAAAAAAAAAGGTGTTCAACATCATTGATCATCAGAGAAATGCAAATCAAAACTACAGTAAAATATCATCTCATCCCAGTTAAAATGCTTTTTATCCGAAAGACAAGCAATAGCAAATGTTAGCTAGGATGTCGATAAAAGGGAACCTTTGTACACTATTGTTGGGAATGCAAATTAGTATATGTGGGTAACTCCCCTTCTGGGCACTGAGGAAGGAGAGCTAAGCACACCCCTGGCACAATTAGTGCCTGAAGAATATCTTATTGCTCATTTATTTCCTTTTATATAATCCTTTTATATAATGATATCTTAGTTTGTAGTCAGAGGAGTGTCAAGAGCAGACACGGTGCACAGCATGAACTAGGGAAAAACAGCCATGACAGGAGAAGAATCAATGGCCCAGGCGGTAATGCCCCTGCCTGAAAGGGCATGTGCTACATGGCAGGCTGGCCCAGGCGGCAGCATTCAGTATCATAAAGATACCCGCTGTATGGCAGGCTTGGAGCAAGAGTCACTCCTGCTGTAAGGGAGTTGAAATATCTTACATGGCAGTTCTTGTGGAAAGCTGGCATTAGGCTGGCAATCCCTCGAACATCCGAGGGCTTAAAACCCCTCCGGTATAATCGCGCCTCAGTAGCTGTACTCCCTGTCAGCTCTCGTACTACTGGGCTGACTCAGAACATCTTCCTAGAGAAATCCTTAAAAGTTGCCTGTCCCTAGATAAGAGATGTTGCACACTGCACCTCCTTACTGCATTCTGCCAACCTCCTTGCCTTGGTGACCTAATGGGGGTAGGCCCTTTGCTTATTGCTCACGTGATCGTCTTGGCCCTATCACTATCCTAAAGATGACCTCACTCACTACCCTTCCCCCCAACCCATACCAAATAAATACAGACCTGCCTGGACGCTTAGGGCCTCGCCTGTCTCCACTTGTAAGTGGCGTTGGCCCCCTGAGCCCATCTGCTCTCATCCATTCCTTTGGTGTCTTGTCTCACGTCTTGGATGCAGTGCCTCAACACAGTGATAGGGGCCACCCCACAACCCTAGTAGGGCTGGACCCTACATGTACAGACACTATGGAGAACAGTTTGGAGTTTCCTCAAAAAACTAAAAATAGAGCTACCATATGATCCAGAAATCCCACTGCTAGGTATATACCCAAAAGAAAGGAAATGAGTGTATTGAATAGATATCATCACTTCCATGTTTATTGCAGCAATAGTCACAACAGTTAAGTGTCCATCAATAGACAAACAAATAAAGAAAATGTGATACATATACACAAGAAGTACTATTCAGTTATTAAAAAAAAAAAAAAGAATGAGATCCTATGTTTGCAGCAACATGGATAGAACTGGAGATCATTATGTTCTTAATAAATGAAATAAGCCAGGCACAGAAAGACAAACTTTGCATGTTCTCACTTAGTGGGAGCTAAAAATTAAAACAATTGAACTCATGGAGACAGAGAGTAGAATGATGGTTACCAGAGACTGGGAAGGGTAGTGGGGCAGAGGGAGGAAGTGTGTGAATGGCAAATGGGTACTAAAACGTAGAAAGAATGAATAAGATCTAGTATTTGGTGGCACAACAGGGCGACTAGAGTTAATAATTTAACTGTACATTTTTAAGTAACTAAAAGAGTATAATTGGGTTGTTTGTAACACAAAGGATAAACGCTTGAGGTGATGGATATCTCATTTACCCTGATATGATTATTATACATTATATGCCTGTATCAAAATATTCCATATTTCCCACAAATAAATACACCTATACTCACAAAAATTAAAAAAATTTTTAAAAACCGTTTACACAAATGTTCAAAGCTGCATTGTTCATAATGGCCAAAAAAGTGAAACAACCTTAATGTTTATCAACAGATGATTGGATAAATAAATTGTGGTTTACCTGTACAATGGAATGTATTTGGCAATAAAAAGGAGTGAAGTACTGATAAATGCTACAACATAGATTAACCTTAAAAGCATTATGCTATGTGAAGAAGCCAGTCACAAAAGGCCACAAAGATTTCATTTATATGAAATGTCCAGATAAGGCAAATCTATAGAATCAGAAAGTAAATTAGTAGCCATCATGGGGCTAGAGGAAAATGGAATGGGGAATGACTGCTAATGCTAATGGATACAGAGTTTCAGCTTGGGATAATGAAAATATTCTGAAATTAGATAGTAGTAATGGGTGCACAAAGTTTGTGAACATACTTTTAAAAGGCCACTGAATTGTATAAAAGGGTCAAATTTATGGCATATGGATTATACCTCCAGTTTTTTAAGTCAGTGAAATGTCCCACACAAGAGCTCTTGTGCCTATACTGGTTCCCAGAGGCCATAGTATTTTTTATGGACTAGTCTTTTATCATTTAACCTTTCAGAACATGTGAATTAAGGTACCTTTTTGAAAGCATTTCTACAGACTAGCCTCAAAGGAAGTCAGAAAACTGTTTCAGATCTTTTGACATGCTTCTTGCTTGCCATCTTCAACAGACACTGATAGTGGGGCCTGACTCTGCTGCAGTCTATTCACCACTGATGGCAAATCTGTAAGAGTCATGCTCCAACAGCCCACTCACAAAAGCAGAATTCCAGGCCCTCTGAAACAGTAATCAGCAAACAAGTCATGCACATACAGGTAGCAGGCATGATGTGGCTCCCAGGCCCTAGTATGCCTCATACCAGCACTAAGAGAAAAAACACACAAGTGGGGATAAAAGATGTTAACACATACCACGAAGTTATTTGTTGAATTGATTAATGAATCTGTCATTGTATTGATAAGCTTGTCAAGTTATTTTATCTGTGTCCTATCAAAACCAGTTTCTGCCACTATCACTTCCTTCTTAGGAACTCTCCTGAAATCTTTTCTGGGGCTTCTGAGGCTGCCAACAGTATAGAGGTTTAAGAAATGGTATTCTGTCCATATGTTGTCTTATGTTCATTTCACCTGACAGCTAGCATCAAACACTTAGGAGTTGCACAGGAAACTGAGAGTAAATTCTGTTTCTCTTTGCTCTTATAATGCTAAAGTGAATTAGTTTGCCATTCTCTATAGCAATGATAGTGTAGAATTGTTGTTCATGTGCAGTCCTTTATATACAAAATCTGTTTCTAACCTACCCTTAGATCAATATGAATTCTCCCCTAAACCACTCACACTCTCACCCAGCCCTCCTTATGACCAAGAGTTTATTCCTGCAAGATGGTTAGCTATGGTTAGTTAGGATACGTCAGTGCATAAGGAACAAACCGATGCTAACTTGCCCCAAGAGCATTTCAGTAGTGCCCTCATTAACATGCCGGCTATGGCTAATCAACTGAACCAACCAACTGTAGACAAATACACAAGTATGTGTGGGGTAAGATGCCCATTGAATATTTGTGGAAGGAAGGAGAAAGGAAAATGGAAATGAATGTATGCTTGTAAAAACTAGTAACACCTTTGATTTTTTTTTATAACAACTGCTTCTTTTTACTTTATTATTCCCTTCATTCTCATATCATAGTCATCATTATCCTGTCTGTAGAGGTTGTATAATCATCCCAATTTTACAAGTAAGAAATCTAGACTTGGTTTTTCCCAGAGTCACACAGCAAATTACCTAACTATAAGTAAAAGCTAGAACTTCCATTCCTCAGAATTACTCTCAACCTTCCTGCTATGCTGGCCCCATCCTAGGGACATTTTGCTGAAAAAGCCTATCAGTTGCTTTCTGCTGAGGCTAGGAACTAGAACCATGCCACTAATTTATTAAACCCTATTTTGCAGGCAGATGAGGCCTGTGGGGTAGGTCTGCCAGTCCCTTAACTAGCCTTAACTCTACCCAGACCCACTCAGTGCACACACATGTATGTCTTCCAGGATTATGCCAGTGAAGGCCTTCGCACCCTAATGGTAGCCTACCGAGAGTTGGATGAAGCATTCTTCCAGGACTGGAGCAGAAGGCACAGTGAAGCCTGCTTGTCTTTGGAGAACCGGGAAAGCAGATTATCAAATGTCTATGAAGAAGTTGAAAAAGACTTGATGGTTAGTGAGGAAGCCAGGGACAGACTGGGTTAGGGATGGGGGCTGGCAGTCAGCAGACTGGGCAAGGGCTCTGAAAGTAGCTCCTAGAGGATTAACAGATGCAGGCTGTCTCTGAGAGGAAGGATAGGAAAGCTTGGCCGGAGAACTCCATAGTTTTGTGCCAGGGAGGCTGGATACTGGAATCCCAGCCGATTCAGTATATCCTGGACCTTCTGAATCCATAATGAAAGAATGCACTGGTGATAATTTTTATCTTTCTAGCAGTGTTTCTAATCCCAAAGCTGTTCACAGAAGCTAAGTAATCTGGCTGAAAAGCTGTGTGAGTTGCAAGGCAGAATGTGCTGAGTTTTTATACCCCTGAGATCCTCATACCAGGACAAAGCCAGCTCACTAAAGAGAGTGCAGAGGTGCCAGCTCAGTCATTAGGTAGCACTAAATGCTCTGCCTCTTTCCTTTTTCCTCATTCACTGATACATCTTTTCAAAGCTGTTAGGGGCCACAGCCATAGAAGACAAGCTACAAGATGGAGTACCTGAGACAATCATCACCCTGAACAAAGCCAAAATTAAACTATGGGTTTTAACTGGAGATAAGCAAGGTAAACCCCTAGACTGATTGATCCTCTTCCTTATCCATCTTAGCCATTTCTTTTCCACCTCTTTTCTTTTTTTACTTAGCCATTTTTTTGATATATATCTTCTAAGTCAAATCAAGTCCTTACAGGACACCTTCATTCTCAATCTTGTATACAATTTGCTGAGCATATGCTTTATGCCAGATGATATATTAGGCATTGAAGACAGATGAATCAATCAGACATGACCCCTGTCATTCAGGAACTCACATGCTAAACTTTAAAATTGTCTTTGATTGTACCCTCTCTGTTGTCCCATAGAGTCACTCTCTCACTGTATCCCATGAATTTGTCTGAAAATCCTCCTGTGTTACCCTCCAAGTTCAACCTCATTTCCTGTTGGCTGTACTTACACAAGCTTCTGAACTTATCTCTCTGTTCTTGCCCTTATTAATTTCAGTACAGCCAACATACAACCATCAGTTTAATCTTCCTCAAATATACAGTGACAATCAACCATCAGTTTAATCTTCCCCAAATATACTAATTTTATGATGTTACTACTCTATTCAGGGACGTACAGTGACTCCATGTTGTAAAGGTCAAAATCCTCTATCTGACCTTCAAGATTTTAATAATCTATTGCTCTTCACATCCTTATCTGCATCCTAATGTTACCATTATCTTAAGTGTGCGCCCAAACAAACCAGGTCCTACTCTAGGGCCTTGGTTTGGGTTGTTTACCCACTTAAAATCCCTTTTCTTTCAATTCTTATTCATCCTCCAAGGCCTTCCTTCAAGGAAGTGTCTGTGACAATTGCAATCTCTCCTCTGAATTCTGATACCATTTGTAGCCAGGATTCAGGAACTGATTTTTTTCTTAGTATGACTTTATTCCAAATTCCACACTATTTGATGTAAAGGAAGAATTTAAACATGTCTTAGTCCCTCATAAAATCTAGCATAGAAATGGGCATAATGCTGTTCAAAAAGCACGTCCTGATTGCCTGGAGAAATGGATAAAGACCAAAATTGCTCTAAGAAATAGGATAAGACTTTCTAGAGAAGGCCAGAATGACCACAGTTATCGATAAGCAACCCATAGTCTGTGCAGGTAGACAGTCATCTATGGATGTTTGAATATGATCTTCACTGATTCATTAAAAATGCACTTTGATTGCATCCATAGCAAATGAGGATGAATGGGCTTTGCAGCCTGCCCAGTATTACAGCCTGTGTACCTGTACACTGTGAAGATCCTGTCCTTGTCTATAAACACCAGCCAAAATGACACTTGTGCTCCCCTTCCCTACAGAGACTGCTGTGAATGTTGCCTACTCCTGTAAGATATTTGACGATGAAATGGATGAAGTGTTCATTGTGGAAGGCAGGGATGATGAGACTGTTTGGAAAGAACTCAGGTATAGATGGGAGATTGGCCATAGCCAATCTGGACCCAAAAGTTCCTATTCATCTCTTCCCCTAGTGTGGGTCCCACACCACCAGAAGGAACAGAGAAGACATGGAGGTGGGAAAAACAAAAACCTAAAATATTTGAAAAATTTTTGTGAGAAGCATTTGGGCTAAATAGGGCTGGAGTGTGGGGATGGAGAAGTGCAGCATGTGAATGGTCAGGGACCTATGGCAGTGGCAGGTCTTGAAAGGCTGTCACGTCTGAGGTCTTCGCTGGTGCTTTGTAGAGTTCCTCTAGCCACTTTGCCCACTTTCATCTGGGGACACATTTTCCTCCTAAATTCTGAAGCTTCAGGTCAGACTCTGACCACTACTCTTGGCTTTCAGGACAGCAAGGGACAAGATGAAACCCGAATCTCTCCTGGATTCAGACCCCATAAACATTTACCTCACCACGAAGCCCAAAATGCCTTTTGAAATACCTGAGGAGATGGCCAATGGCAACTATGGCTTGATCATCAATGGCTACAGTCTGGTGGGCAACACAGAGCTACACTCTGTTCTCTTCCTCCAAGGAACATTTTTCCTAGGTCCAACATACTTCAGGGAAATTTCAAGACCCCCTTTCCTATTCCATGAGTCACCCTATTCCCCTTCCCTTCAGGTGCCCTTGCCTGAAAGACTCCTTTCTCTAGCCTTCTTTAGGAAGAAGTAAATAAGGAAAGAGAAGCCAAGGGTGTCTTTCTTCCTTATCCAAATTCTTCTCTACTGATGTGGCCTGTCACTTAGGGGAAGAGGGAAGCAAGCAGAAACAGGTCTCCCAAGAAGTCACTTGGCCTCATAGCCCCGTCAACTGATTTGGCCCAATGAGAGGTCCTGACCAGTTTCCCACTGGAGGCTGAGTCAGATGGGAGGATGCCTAGAACTGACTTGGGTGCTCAGCCTCCCTTGGGGGGTGGAGTGCCTTGGGAACAGCTATGTCTGCCCTGTGAAGGACAGTAGAGTGTAGAGGGAAAGGGAACCATTTGGGAAGGTCATCCTCTGAGAGCTTTTTTGGGCAATCTGAAGAGTGAGTGTGTCCTGGTGCTGCAGGCCTATGCTCTAGAAGGGAACCTGGAGTTGGAACTGCTGCGAACAGCGTGCATGTGCAAGGGGGTGATCTGCTGCCGGATGACACCCCTTCAGAAGGCCCAGGTGGTAGAGCTGATGAAGAAGTACAAGAAGGTGGTGATACTGGCCATCGGGGATGGGGCCAATGACGTCAGCATGATCAAAGGCATGTGATGGGAGGGGAGCAGTTGGCTTAAAGCCATGGGCATGCCCCTTCCTTTCTCCATGAGCAAAATGGATTTGGGTGGTACTCTGTTGCTGGCTCACACTCCTGCCTCTCATATGTGTTACACATTTATACTGTTTTGCAACTCCATTCATACTCCTCTGTGCCTGCACTCCCACTTATTGACACATTCAGGCATCAGCCCATATCCACAGGCATGCACTCACATTCAGATTCATGGACTTACACTATGAGTATAAGCATACACACAGATACACATGGCTCCCACGAGAACACATGCTTACGTTCACAGAACAACAGGCTGTTCAACTACCATACCTTCTTTCTGAGATGACATCAAGGCCCACAGAAAGGACCCCTAGGCAGGAGTCATAGTCTGTTTCTTTTCTGAAGGCTGTAGGCTGTGATGCCCAATTCAGAGATATTTTCTTTTCCAACTCCATGTTCCCAAGAGCTTGCCCTGCTCCCTTGGTGGGAGGAGAATAGGTGACTTACTGATCACTTTCGACCAGTAGAAGCAAATGGCTAAAATTTACTAGAGTAGGTTGTTGTTCTTTGTTGTGTTTTGTTTAGAGACAGCCTGTCACCCAGGCTGGAGTGCAGTGGCATGTTCATAGCTCACTGCAGCCTTCAACTCCTCGGCTCAAGCAATCCCGCTGCCTCTGCTTTCTGAGTAGCTGGGACTATAGGCACACACCACCATGCCCAGCTATTTTTTAATTATTAGTAGAGGTGAGGTCTCACTATTTTGCCCAGGCTGGTCTTAAACTTCTGGCCTCAAAACAGTTCCCCCCATCTCAGTCTCAAAGTGCTGGGATCACAGGCATGAGCCACCACGCCTGGCCAAATTTACTGGTTTCAATTTCACATGAATGTTGACCTACCAGCCTCCAGCAACATGTAGGTCTGTGAGATAGGGACAAATCTACAGGTCCTATAGTCCAACCTCTCTGCCTATACAAGAAACTCTAACAGATATTCCAGCTTCAGCATTTTTTTTTTTTTTTTTTTTTTTGAGACAGAGTCTCACCCTGTCACCAGGCATCAGGATGGAGTGCAGTGGTGCAATCTTAGCTCACTGCAACCTCTGCCTCCCAGGTTCAAGCGATTCTCCTGCTCAGCCTCCCAAGTAGCTGGGACGGACTACAGGCGTGTGCGACCACGTCCAGCTAATTTTTATAGTTTTTAGTAGAGATGGGATTTCAGCATGTTGGCCAGGATGGTCTCGATCTCTTGACCTTGTGATCCGCCCGCCTTGGCCTCCCAAAGTGTTGGGATTACAGGCGTGAGCCACTGCACCCGGCCCCAGCTTCAGCTTTAATACTCGGAAGTATTCTTGCTCTCTTCCTCAGTTTCTAGACCCTAGGGGTATTTAGGAGTTTAGAGGTTTGAATTATCCCATCAAGCAGTGCAGCAAGCATATTCCAGATCAGTGAATTTGGTATATACCAGAAAAATGGCAAACTACCACAGACTTATTCAAACTTTGAGGAACTTCAGTCTTATCTTCCATCAAATATAATAATTGCTTTATCCAGAAGTTACCTTAGGCCTCTTGAAGTACTTGTTTCGACTAACAAAGTATGTACATCACATACAGTTGGATTTTAGCTCCTTAGGTAAACTCAGGTAATTAAATATTGTATTAGATTGGCATCCATCCTGCATCTTGAATTGATTTAAGTGGGTTCCATAGATAATAAGAAATTTTAACCTCAGCATCTGGACAGCAGGAAAGAGCCCAGATGTCTAGACTAGGGGCAAAGAGCATTCAGGACAGCTTCTAGTACTGGCCATGCCACACATTCTAGAGTAATGGTGTCCAAAACAAAGTACAGAAGAGGGGCCCAGTACAGTGGCTCATGCCTGTAGTCCCAGCACTTTGGGAGGTTGAGGCAAGAGGATCACCTGAGTCCAGGAGTTTGAGACCAGCTTGGGCAACACAGGGAGACAGTTATCTCTATAAAAACAAAAAAGTGCAGAAAAGGGAGCTGTTTTCCACTTTGTGAGGGAGGGGCAATCCACTAAGGAGAAAAGACTTCACTAAGTGACAGTTTGCACTGAGCTTAAAAGCATTTTCCAAATGTAAAATAAAGGGGTTTGTACAACATCATCTCAGCTTTCCCTTTACACTTCCCAGGCTGGGAGCCCAGCATACAAGCTCTCTGGCTGAGAAGTTTCTGGGGTTTTATTGCAGCTGCCCACATTGGGGTTGGCATCAGTGGCCATGAGGGGCTGCAGGCCATGCTCAACAGTGACTTCGCCTTCTCCCAGTTCCACTGTCTTCGGCGTCTACTCTTGGTCCATGGCCGCTGGTCTTACAATCGCATGTGCAAGTTTCTCAGCTACTTCTTTTATAAGAACTTCACCTTCACCCTGGTGCACTTCTGGTATGCCTTCTTCAATGGGTTCTCTGCACAGGTAGGTGATCAGTGGCAATCCCCACTCTGGTCAACTGGGTTTTCTCTAGTCATCTCTCACTTCACCTAACTCAGATCTTTTCTCACCTTTAGAGACAAATGTATGACATGCTGCCATCCATTCATGAAGCACTTCACCCCATGCTGACTCCATCTCCTAAACCGATACAAATTTTAGATTTCCAAGCCATAACTGTTCCGGCCTGGCTCTGATTTGACCTAGACCCCCACCTTTAAAATAACTGTTCCGGCCTGGCTCTGATTTGGCCTTAACCCCCATCTTTAAACTTTCTTTTTATTTATGTATCTATTTATTTATTTGTTTTGTTTGTTTGTTTTTTGTTGTTGGTTTTTTTTTTTTGAGACGGAGTTTCACTCTTGCTACCCAGGCTGGAGTGCAATGGCGCGATCTGGGCTCACTGCAACCTCCGCCTCCTGGGTTCAGGCAATTCTCCTGCCTCAACCTCCTGAGTAACTGGGATTACAGGCACGCGCCACCATGCCCAGCTAATGTTTTTTGTATTTTTAGTAGAGACGGGGTTTCACCATGTTGACCAGGATGGTCTCGATCTCTTGACCTCATGATCCACCCGCCTCGGCCTCCCAAAGTGCCGCGATTACAGGCGCGAGCCCCCGCGCCCGGCTATGTATCTATTTATATTGAGACAGGATCTTACTCTCTTGCTCAGGCTGGAGTACAGTGGTGTGATCATGGCCCACTGCAGCCTCAACTTCCTGGGCTCAGATGATTCTCCTACCTCAGCCTCCCAAGTAGCTGGGACTACAGGTGCGCACCACGACACCCTAATTTTTTGTACTTTTGGTAGAAATGAGGTTTCACCATGTTGCTCAAACTGGTCTTGAACTCCTGGGCTCAAGCAATCTGCCCACCTCAGCCTCCCAGAGTGCTGAGATTTCAGGTGTGAGCCACCACACCTGGCCTAAACTTTCCCTTATGCTATTTTCACTGATGTTGAGACTTTGAATTTCCAAACATATGTAATGGGAACAAATTCCTGGATCTCGGAGTTTTCTTAGCATCCAAAGTCATCTTTTTGGAACAGGCTAAGCCTCAAGGAACCTCTGAGTCATGCCAGATGGACCAATTACGGTGTTCACCCGTAGCCATATCCAGAAATACAGCTTCATTTTGCTTCTCCTTCCCTACTCAAGACTGCCTGTATTCCTGACCCCAACACACACATAATTGTTACTTTGATGAATTAATTCCACATTAGAACGTGAAATCTCCTCCACCTTAGTAGGGAGAAGCGATGCCTGGATTTTCATGTTCTAAAAGGAGTCGCTTTTCCTATGAGAAGTTTTTCAGAAGCATCTCAAGGATTCCCAAGAGAAACAACCTCAGAAACAATTATCTTGGGAGAGTCCTACTTTTGTTGCCATAGACTCCAGGAACAACAGGCCAGTCAGCAAATAGTAGCAGTTTTGTATTTCCCCAAACCATAGCAAAGCCAGTCTGGTTTGTGGGAGGCGTATGTGTCTGCATGTGTTGCTGCTGACCTCTTGTGGCTAGTAAAGAAAAGAGCCTTCTCTAGTCCCCAGGATGGGGTGTCCCGCTAGGGAAGGGTCATTGGGTTTATTTTGCTTGTCAACATTAGGAAGTATGCAGTGCTACAGAAGCCACTGAATGCCACTAAGCAAGTAAAGTGTCCAAACGCTGGGCACAGTGGCTCATGCCTGTGATTCCAACACTTTGGAAGGCCGAGGTGGGTGGATTACCTGAGGTCAGGAGTTTGACACCAGCCTGGCCAACATGGCAAAACCACGGCTCTACAAAAAAATGCAAAAATTAGCTGGGCATGGTGGTGGGCGCCAGTAGTCTCAGCTACTCATGAGGCTGAGAATTGCTTGAACCCCGGAGGCAGAGGTTGTAGTGAGCTGAGATCATGTCACTGCACTCCAGCCTGGGTGACAGAGCAAGACTCCATCTCAAAAAAAAAAGGTTTACCTGCTTAGGAGTGTAGGGGTACAGCTAGCATTCCCTAGCAATTACTCTGGGTCCTTTCTGTGCAGTGAGGGGCTGTATACATTATGGTGGGATTGGTCCAGATCCACCTTGAAAGCGTGATGTGGCCTTACTCTATCCTAGGACCCAGGGTCCTGATAAAGTAGGAACAAGTAGAGACTGGGGTCAACATTCTCAGTCAGGTTTCTCCTGCTGTAGGTTAATGTGAGGGATTGAGGGATGAGGGTGGCTATCTTGGACCTGGAAGGTGGAGCTGGGACTGTAGAGAAGATAGGAGCCTACAAAATCTCCTTGGTATTCTTCCAGACAGTTTATGAGACCTGGTTTATCACATGCTACAATCTGGTCTACACTTCCCTCCCTGTCCTGGGCATGAGTCTGTTTGATCAGGTAAGATCCAGCTGCAAGCCCCTAGTCAGAGTTGAAGCCCCTGGGCCCTTGAGGAATATCCTTAAGAATGAAGAATATAGCACGAGCTGGGCTCTACGAAATCCATTGTAAAGGGAATAATTTCCAGAGTGGGGAAAGGAGCTCATCACCTAGATAGGTATCATGAGATAAAAAAAATTCTCCTCAACAGAGAGTAATTCTCAGTTTTAGAAAGCCAAGTTTTCCTGTATCAATTTTATCTTTGTAGAGAGAAACATGGAAATTGTGCTGTACAGTAAATTCAGTATATATAAAAGTAATTAAAATATGTTTAGAAAATAAAAAAGCAAAATATGAATGGAAAAAAATAAAGAAAACAGAGTTATTGGGGTAGGACTGGGTAATGTTTGGAACTTCAAAAAGGAGAGACTCCTTCAGGGATAATGAGGATGAGATAAGCCAATGCAGGAACACCAGGCATGGGAGTATAATTGTGATAGTTTATATCATAAGGAGCCAGACTAAGGGATACCATCTGTCCCTGTCAGAAATTCCCTGGGCATTGAGGGTCCTCTGTCTTCTACCCCAACCTTTAGTCCTGGGCACATGGTATAGAAAATGAGTCTTCAAAAAGGAATAAAGTAGCTGAAATAGGACATCATGAGATCATGGCTGTTGGTCTCCACAGGAAATGGCTCTAAAGGAAATTCTCCAGGAAGTAACTCCTAACCTCAGAACAACAAGAGGGATGGGTTTTATTACTCAATAGTCCATCCAGCTTCAGTGGCCTAATTCTAGGGATCTACCTCTGAAACCAGCCCCAGGCTTTGTTAATTTTTTTACCTTCAGTTCACCAGTAGCTATGGGAGTGGAAGAAACATCACAGAACATGCACACCTCTAAAAGACTAAGTGGTCCCCATTGGTGTCCATTTCTCCCACACTGACTTTTGACATAAAGAATATTCAACTATGGCTGGGCATGGTGGCTCACATCTGTAATCCCAGCACTATGGGAGGCCAAGGTGGGTGGATCACTTGAAGTCATGAGTTTGAGACCAGCCTGGCCAACGTGGCAAAACCCCGTCTCCACTAAAAATATAAAAATTAGCCGGGTGTGGTGGCGGACACCTCCAGCTACTCAGGAATCTGAGAAACCAGAATTGCTTGAACCTCAGAAGCGGAGGCTGCAGTAAGCCAAGATGGTGCCACTGTACTCCAGTCTGGGTGATAGTGTAAAACTGTAACTAAAAAAAAAAAGATATTCAACTGAAAGAAGACTTATACCTGGGGACTTATATCCCAGCTGCCTCCCCCATCCCAAGCTCTAGTCCTCCCTCCCAGCTACCCACAAGCCTAGTTGCCCCCTTTCATAACTCCCCATTTCTAACTCTCTCCAAGTCTTTCCAAGCATTCTGACCTTCTCCCAGCTTCCTTCCACTACCCAGATCCTTGCCTAAACAGTAGGACTTCAGATAGGGCCTGTAGTCACTGTTCAGTTCTCTGGTTCCACTTCTCAAGTAATCCATAAGGAAGCTCCCAGGCAGCCTGGCAGCAGACTCAGTGAGAGGAGAAGCCTCTACCCTGTTGAAGATGGGACCTTCTATGGAGAGACCCTGAGCCTTCTTCCTTACCCTCTGATGCTTCCAGGATGTGAATGACACATGGAGCCTCCATTTCCCAGAGCTGTATGAGCCAGGCCAGGACAACCTCTATTTCAACAAGAAGGAATTTGTGAAGTGTTTAATGCACGGGATCTACAGTTCCTTCGTGTTATTCTTTGTCCCCATGGGGACTTTTTACAATACAGAACGAAATGATGGCAAGGATATCTCCAACTGCCAGTCCTTCTCCCTGGTGGTGCAGACCTCCTTGATCTGGGTGGTCACAATGCAGGTGTGGCCAGTGGCAGTGGGGGTAAGGGGATTGGATGGGGGCCTGTCTGAAAGAGTGGGAGGAATAGAGGGAGGGAGTGTGGGAAGGGAGCAACCTTCATTGCAGAATTGGAGGAGGGAGGTTGCTGACAGGTCCCAGGTTACAGACTATTACACATAAGAGGGTATTTTTCAGATTGCTTTGAGGACAACCTACTGGACAATAATAAACCACATCTTCATCTGGGGTAGCCTGGGTCTCTACTTTTGCATGTCATTATTCCTGTACAGCGATGGCTTGTGCCTAGCGTTCCCTGACGTCTTCCAATTCCTAGGTAAGGCCCTGCCCGGTGTGTGGTGGGTGAGGAATCAGGTATATTCATTTAGTAAATGTTTACCGAGAAGCCATTACTATGTGCTAGGACAGAGATATAAATAAGACATGGTCTCAGCCCTAAAAGGACACAAAATCTAGCTAGGGAAATAAGTTACCTTATTCAGGTTTCCAAGATATTTTCAAAAGTTGTATGTGATTAGCTTTTTACCAGCATCCTAAGAAGTAGGCAGTGCAATAATTATTAGAGCCATTTTAGACACTGGAGGGTGTTTTCAAATTACGGGACTCAAATCTAGGTTTCCTGGTTCCAGTTCAATATCCTTTATGCTGTGGCATATTGCCTTATTGTCTCCCATATTATTTTTCCCTCTCTCTCATCTCCACTCTGCTGAAGACAAAATATAGAGAGTAGATATGTAGTTGTAGTTGGCTCTCATCTTTTTTTTTTTTCATTTGTTGAGACTCTGTTGCTCTGTCTCTGTCACCCTGACTGGAGTGCAGTGGTGCAATCCTGGCTCACTGCAACCTCTGCCTCCTGGGTTTAAGCAATTCTCATGCCTCAGCCTCCCCACTAGCTGAGACTACAGCCATGCACCACCATGCACTGCTAATTTTTTTGTATTTTTGGTAGAAGCATGATTTTTCTATGTTGGCCAGGCTTGTCTCAAACTCCTGGCCTAAAGCAAGGGCCCGCCTGGGGCTCCCAAAGTGCTAGGATTACAAGCATGAGCCACCGTGCCACCGCACCCACCTGACCTTTTATCAGGACATTCATTTTTCTCCTGCAAAGCTTTCTCTTTTTTCCTTTTTCCTTTTTTTATTTTATTTTTTACTTTTTAAATTTTTCATTGTTTTTTTGTTAGTTTGTTTTCTTGTTTGTTTCCTCCTCTAAAACTTTCTTTCCCATTTTTGGATCCAGGCCAGTGCTCTAGGATTCCCTCATAATGAAATCCTGCTCCCCTATCCTGCCCTATCCTGCCCTGCCTTTAGAGGGAGATAGAGGCACATGGATTCACAGTGACTTTGGTTGGGCAAAGGACCCAACCTGCAATTCTTTTGTATTTATATTATTTCTCAGGAGCCTAGACTAACTCCACATTAATAACTTCCTTCTTTGGACTAGAGAGGTGTCTAAGTTTTGGCTGGTAACTCCCACCCCTGGTCCCACTCCTGTCCCCCAGGCTCTGTTTCAGCCTTTCCCCTCCTTGCTCACTGTTTATAGGTGTGGTCAGGAACACTCTGAACCAGCCGCAAACGCTGCTGAGCATTATCCTCAGCGTGGTCCTCTGTATGTTGCCTATGATTGGGTACCAATTTCTTAAACCACTATTCTGGCCTATCAGCGTGGACAAGGTGAGTGGAACAGAGAATCTACTCAGATATAATTCATGACCTTCTTTTGTCTTTGCCTCTGTGGATGAAAACCCTATCCCCATGCTCTTGCTTTAGGTTTTTGACAGAATTCAAGCATGCAGACTTCCACAGCAAACCCCAGCCAAGACCAGACTGAAACAATCGAGCTCTCGACGTTCTGCCTATGCATTCTCCCATCAACACGGCTTTGGGGCCCTCATCACTTCTGGCAAGACAATGAAGTCCAGGATGTCCAAGAAAAACACCCTTTTTCAAAAAGGTAGAGGCCCTAGGGAAATTCCAAAGGAGGCAGTCAGTGCTCTTCCTCATATTCATGCAACTTAGTAAGGAAGGATTAGAGTCCCTGGGAAATAAGCATAAGCCTGCTCCTTCACTCTCATTAGGAACTAAGCCTCCTAATTGTCCAGAAGGCTATGCCCAGGTAAGATGAGGAGAGGTAAGGAAAGAGCCCCCAGAGATCTGCCAGAGTTGCAGCATTTCAAAAAAAAAAAAAAAAAAAAAAAAAAAAAAGCAACGTCAGGCCCACCTTCCACCATCTCTTGCAAGTTACAATCCAGACAAGCATATATAGAAGTAGTGGATGAAGAGGGACAGGATGGGGAAGGGAAAAGAAGATGGGACCTAAGAATTTTACTTCGGGCCCTGACTCCTATACTCTGAGCAAGCATAAACTTTCCCAGGGCCCTACATGAACATATTCCCGTCCAGGCATCCTTCTCAGGTTTACCTGGGAGATTCAGGGTAAGTCGTTTGCTGGCCCTGGGTAGCAAAAGGAGGCATCTGTGCAGAGTTGGTCTTAAGAAGCTGAAAGAGGGTTTCTGGACCATAAGTAAGTAAAAAGAAATGGAGGTGGTTCCTGCCTGGATAAGACAACTCAAGGTTTTGCCTTTTTGTGCTCTCTGTGACTTCTCTGACTCAAGAGCTGATACCTGCTCAGGCCTCAGAACTGAGAAGGTGATATTGCAGGAGATTTTTAAGATTCTTTTCTTAAGGAGACATAAGCCATAATTGGTGAGCATATGTCCTTATTCCATAAAATTATTTTGAGAAGAAATTGTATGTACTTAAAAAATTGTTTCTTAGGAGTTTAGAATTGGAGTAATAAATTGCTTATTTTGAAGCAGAGAGATTTGTATGGTCTGTTGGGACCCCAGTGACAATAATATAATCTGAGCAATATCTTTGGTCCAGACTCCCACCAACTTCCTCCTTCAGATTAGACCAATACTTCTCCTTTCCCCCCCTTTTTTTCTCCTTTTTCGGCTCCCCTCCACTTTTCGTTCCCCTCTTGCTAAACTCTAATTTGGCCTCAGTATGACCACATCTTTTGCCAATATGGCTCTCTCCCTTTGCATACCTTAAGTATCGTTTCTTAGGTTCTTTGCTCGTCTTTCTCTGTACCCTTTTCCTGAATGACTTCATCCAGACTCTTGACTTCATTTACCAATAGAAAGAAGATTCACATGGCGGGGCATGGTGGCTCATGCCTGTAATTCTAGGACTTTGAGAGGCCAAGGTGGGTGGATTACCTGAAGTCTGGAGTTCAAGACTGCCTGACCAACATGGAGAAACCCCATCTCTACTAAAAATACAAAATAAGCTGTGTGTGGTGGTGGACACCTGTAATCCCAGCTATTCGGGAGTCTGAGGCAGGAGAATCACTTGAACCTGGGAGGTGGAGATTGTAGTGAGCCGAGATCTTGCCATTGCACTCCACCCTGGGCAACAAGAGTGAAACTCTGTCTCAAAAAAGAAAAAAAAGAAAGAAGATTCATAGTCTCTATCCCAGATCTCCCTGCTAAGGCCCAGATCCACATATTAAACTAACTCCCAGACCTTTCACTTTGTCACACCTCCAGAAACTTAACACTCAACCTGTACTAATCATTTTCCCTCCCACTTTTACACCAGGATGCCACCACCACCATCTGAGTCACCCGAGGCCAAATGATGAGAATCATCCTATACCTCTTCCTTTAGCTCAATGTCCAGTGGTCAAGTTATATAAATTCTGCATCCTTATTATTTCTTGTTTCCAGCTCCCTCCATTATTACTACCATTGCCCTTGCTCAGATTTCATCACCTCGTATCTGGATTATGGCATAAAATCTCCCAACTCAGCTCCCTGGTTCTCCCCTTTGTTTTTGTTTGTTTCTCTGTTTTTGAAATGGAGTTTCACTCTCGTTGCCCAGGCTGGAGTGCAGTGGCGGTGATCTAGGCTCACTGCAACCTCCAACTCCCAGGTTCAAGCGATTTTCCTGCCTCCACCTCCTTGGTTCTCCCCTTTCTAAAGCATCAGTAATATTATTTTAAGAGTAATCTTTCTGGAAAGCAAATTTGATCATGTCAAGCCTCAGTTTAGCATCCTTTAAGGAAATCTCATGCTTTCTGGATCCTGTTAAAATTTGGACTTTTTACTATTGGGCCCTCGCTAGCCTTGTCTTCCACCACTCCCCATCTGCATGCACTCCAGTCATGATGTTTCTAGTCTTCATGTCATCAAACACACTGGTCTCATATATTAAAGTGCTTTCCCCCACAACCATATTCATCTAGTGAACCCCTCATCACCTTCAAAACTCAGAGTTGTTGGAACTAGACAGTGATGGTTGAACAATACTGTCAAAGTAGTAATTGCCACTGAATTGTACATTTTTAAATGGTTGATTTTATGTTATGTGAAGTTCACTTCAACTTTTTTAAAACAGCTCAGATTAAGCATTGTCTCTTCCAGGAGCTTTTCCTAATTCCTCATTGTGATTCATTATACCTGTCCTGTTTGTTTCTCTCCCTCTTTCTTTTGTCTAGATAATGTCTGTCTGCTCTTAATTCTCAGCTTGCAGTATTTCATCTAGGAGCCTTCCCTGAGACCACATCCTCCTCTTCTGAGTTGGTTGCCTCTTCGTTGCATGAGACCCATCTAAGTGTTAGGCTATGAATAATCTTGAAGGCAAGAATTTTATGTCACTTTTTTATTCCCATCAACCAGAAAAATCCTAGCACTTAGATTGTTAATGTTTTTCTTGTTGTTGTTGTTGTTGTTTGAGATGGAGTCTCACTCTGTTGCCCAGGCTGGAGTACAGTGGTAGGATCTCGGCTCACTGCAACCTCTGCCTCCTGAGTTCAAGCAATTCTTGTGCCTCAGCCTTCTGAGTAGCTGGGATTACAGGCGCATGCCACCATGCCTGGCTGATTTTTGTATTTTTAGTAGAGACAGGGTTTCACCATGTTTTGAACTCCTGACCTCAGGTAATCTGCCTGCCTCAGCCTCCCAAAGTGCTGGGATTACAGGTGTAAGCCACCGTGCCTGGCTGTGATTATTAATGTTTTTCAGTGAACAAGTGGATGAACAAAATCTACTACCTTTTATTTTTCCTAAACTTGCTTCTTACCCTTTCCTTTCTAAATGAATCTCATCTTTCTGTATCTAAGTTCCAGCTATACTTCAGGGGCCTCTTTTTATGAAACATAGTTACTGATGGTCTCCCCTCTAAGGCATCTGTAAAAATACAGTTTGGACCAGTAATATGTCCCAAAGCCCCTGAACAATCACTACCCTCTCCTGGTGGTTTATATGCATTCCAGGAGATTTGAATCTCAGTCTCTGCTAAGGATCCAAGAAAGTAAATGCGACATTCCAAAATGTGGTGTGAGATGGCCATGCAAGACCTGCCAAAGAAAGGGGGGTGTGGATTATAAAAAACAAGTTTACAACTCTTAGTTGCTGACCCACCTTAAGAAAAGGGGCAGAAATGCAGACAGTAGAGAGAGGTCTTTGGAGAGAATTGTTAGTGGGCTTTAAGGACTTCCCCTCAGTTCAGTTTAAGTTGAGAAGACTTTAAGGAAATTATTTGGTGAGAGTAATATGATTAATGTGTCTGGGAGACACAAAGGACAGATACCTACCTCATACCTGGAAAATCTAAAACAGCAGTCTGTTCTGCGGCAGAGCAAAAAGTGGCTATGGTGAAATTGGCCTGTGTTCCCATTTACAGGCAAGGGATGCATGAGTGCTACCCACAGACCAGATATAGGCCATGTCGTAATTATCTGAAAGTTTGAGGAAACTTCAGCAGGAAGAAGTAGAGGATATGCTGTCAAATGCTAGTGGATTTATAATAAGATAGAAGGAAGGGGCATGAGGTAAATTTTCTTTATCTCAATTTTGGAGGTGGTTACATTTGTCAAAATTGATTGACCTGTACACTTAAAATTTATACATTTTACTTTATGTAAGCTATATCTCAATAAAGTTCAGTTTTGTAATGCCTAGAGATTTTTAATGGAGTTGTAAGTGACCAACTACGGTAGCTGAATTCACCCACATTGAAGTAACTAGCTATAGGAGAGATATCTCCACCAGTGGGGAGAGAATTTCTGAAGAACCTACAAAAGGACCTGTTGAAATAGAGTCAGCTTTAGATATCTGCCAGGTCTTTTTTTTTTTTTTTTTTTTTTTTTTGAGATGGAATCTTACTCTGTCACCCAGGCTGAAGTGCAGTGGTGCCATCTTGGCTCACTGCAACCTCTGCCTCCTGGGTTCCAACAATTCTGCCTCCACCTCCCAAGTAGCTGGGATTACAGGCATTTAGTAGAGACAGGTTTTCACCATGTTAGCCAGGCTGGCCTCAAACTCCTGGCCTCAAGTGTTCTACCTGCCGCAGCCTCCCAGAGTACTGGGGTTATAGGCATGAGCCACTATGCCTGACTTACCTGCCAAGCCTTAAAATTAGTTCACAACAGTATTAGTCAAGTAAAGACTTTCTTTATCTCATCTCTCTCCTGTCCTGCTCAAGCCCTGGAGAAAAAAAGAATTAGGAAGCTGAAGGAGGAGGAGAGGTAAGTAGAAATACAGATATCTACAAAGTTCACTGAACCTAGCCACATGCAACACAGCCAAGCTGAAAGATAAGGAAAAGCATTAATTATAAAGGTTGAAGTTTTTAAAAATTATTTCATTAAATCACCTTAACTACTAAAGTGAAACTTAAAAGTGACAAGTACTGGTTGCTACTAAAAAGGACCATTCACTAAGTACATTTTGCATCAGTACTTGTTCCTTCACATTGTACTTTTATGAGAGACAACTTCTTTCTGTAAACCTCATGAACCAACCTCTGTTAGCATCCAGCTTTTCTTCTGTAACTTCCTCACCTCTCTCAGCCTTCATAGAATTGAAGAGAGTTAGGGCCTTGCTCTGGATTAGACTTTGGCTTAAGGGAATGTTGTGGCTGGTCTGAGCTTCTGTACAGACCACTCAAACTTGCTCTGTATTGGCAATAAGGCTGTTTTGCTTTTTTATTTGTGTGTTCATTGGAATAGCACTTTAAATTTCCTTCAAGAACTTTTCCTTTGCATTCACAACCTGGCTAACTGGTGTAAGAGGCCTAGCTTTCAGCCTATCTTAGCTTTTGACATACCTTCCTCAATAATCTTAATCATTTCTAGCTCTTTATTTCAGTTGAGAGACATGTGACTCTTCCTTTCACTTGAAGATTTAGAGGCCATTTAGGTTATTAATTGGCCTGATTTCAATATTTTTGTCTCTCAAAGAATAGGGAGGCCTGAGGAGAGGGAGAGACAGGGGAATGACTGGTTGGTGGAACAGTCAGAACATACATTTATTAAATTTGCTATCTTCTATGGGCACAGTTCATGGTGCCCCAAAGAAATAACATAGTAACATCAAAGATCACTGATCACCGTAACAGATGTAATACTAATGAAAAAGTTTGAAATATTGCAAGGATCACCAAAATGTGATACAGAGACACAAAGTGAGCATATGCTTTTGGAAAAATGACACTGATAGACTTGCTCAATTCAGGGTTCCCACACACCTTCAATTTGTAAAAAAAAAAAAATGCAGTATCTGTGAAATGCAACAGAGCAAAGCACGATAAAACGAAGCATGCCTATACTTGGTATGTGGTAGTCAGAGAAGGCCTTTCTGAGGAAGTGACATGTGAAATGAGATCTAAAAGACTAGATGGATCTAGTCCTGCAAACATCTGGTGGAAAGGCAATTCAAAGTAAAATGCTAGTGCAAAGTTCCTGAGGTAAGAGCAAGCTTTGTAAGTAAGAAAAAGAAGCCTAATGTGGACGAAACATTGTAAGCAAAGGACAGAGTAGTTAGATAAAAACCACAGGGAGCAGTGGAGAGTTTTAAAGCCCATTTCAAAAGATTGCTCACACTACTATATGGAGAATAAGAGTGCAAACGTGACCTGGACACAGTGGCTCATGCCTATAACACCAGCACTTTGGGAGGCCGAGGCGGGCAGATTGAGGTCAGGAGCTCAAGACCAGCCTGCCCAACATGGTGAAATGCCCTCTCTACTAAAAATACAAAAAGTAGCCGAGTGTGGTAGCAAATGCCTATAATCCCAGCTGCTCTGGAGGCTGAGACCGGAGAATGTCTTGAACACAGGAGGAGGAGGTTGCAGTGAGACAAGACTGGAGTACAGTGGTGCCATCTTGGCTCATTGCAACATGTGCCTCCCAGGTTCAAGTGATTCTTCTGCCTCAGCCTCCCTAATAGCTGGGACCACAGGCACATGCCACCACACCCAGCTAATTTTTTGTCTTTTTAGTAGAGATGGGATTTCATTATGTTGGCCAGGCTGGTCTCAAACTCCTGGCCCCAAATGATCTGCCTGCCTCTGCCTCCCAGAGTGCACTGCCCGGTGATGGTCATATTTGTACCACTTAACTTCACTACCCCCAGCCACAACTGTCCTAGAGTGGGTATATAACCAGATAGAGCTTCTTTCTCTGGGACTCAGGATTAGAGCTGTGAAAAACTAAGTCAGTGATGAAGTCAGGAGTTAAAAGTTTGCGTAGTTTTAGGAAGTGGGACCTCCACTTTGAAGTGGCCATGATTTGCTATAAGAGGATAAGTGAGCCAAGTTTTCTAGTCTATAAAGAGAAGAATGAAGAAGATGACCAAAGAGAAAGAGACAAGACACTAGTCCATCCCCATAGAAAGCCTCATGAGGGACTTTCTGAAGTTAGGTTCTGTGAGGACATCTTTTTACCTAAACTAGATTGAGGGTATTTTTTATTATTTTTTTTTTGAGACGGAGTCTTGCTCTGTTGTCCAGGCTGGAGTGCAGTGGCATGATCTCAGCTCACTGCAAACTCCACCTCCCAGGTTCAAGCCATTCTTTTGCCTCAGCCTCCCAAGTAGCTGGAATTACAGGTGTGTACCGCCGCACCTGGGCTAACTTTTGTATTTTTAGTAGAGACGGGATTTCACCATGTTGGCCAGGCTGATCTTGAACTCCTGAACTCAAGTAATCCACCCACTTTGGCCTCCAAAAGTGGTGAGATTACAGGTGTGAGCCACCTGCGCCCAGCCAAGAATATTTTATTCTCTGTTGCCAATAGCAAAAACACAGAGGCAGTTCCAATGTACACAAGTTAGGTTCACACTTGTTCTTTTCAACAGCATGTCAGAAACAGGGAGAGGTCACAGTGCCGTCCCACTTATCTTGCACCCTTTTCTTTAAGAACTCATGGGGGAAGTAATCTAAGCTTATTTGCCCCTGCCAGAAATAGAGAAAAACAAGGAACACTGCCCTAGCCCCAACATATCCCTGTGATTCTAGCTCCAAATCTTCTACCAAATCTTCTAAGATTCATGCAAAATGTTTTGGAAAATACACATCATTTGAAGGATCCTGGGAGTCATTCAAGACTATTTGCTCTACTTTACCCCGCCCACCCCCATGACACATTCAATTAATCACTCAGTTCTACAGATTTCTATACCCTAAATCACCCTTGAATCTATTTCCTCTTATCTAAGCCTTCAGCCACTGCCCTAATTCAGACTCTCTCAGTTCTCATCATAATTACCAATCTCCTAACTGATCTCCTTACCTTCCTCTAATTCAATATCCACACTCCTACTAAAGTGAGATTTCTAAAGCTCAGATCTGTTCAAATCACTCTCCTGCTTGAAATAATAGTGTCAACAGCCTTCAGAATAAAATCCAAACTCAGCCAGTCATGGTGGCTCATGCCGTAATCCCAGCACTTTGGGAGCCCGAGACAGGCGGGTTCATTTGAGGTCAGGAGTCCAAGACCAACCTGGCCAACATGGTGAAACTCTGTCTCTGCTAAAAATACAAAATTCACTGGGCGTGGTAGCATGCATCTGTAATCCCAGTTTATCCAGAGGCTGAGGCAGAAGAATCACTTGAGCCCGAGAGGCAGAGGTGGCAGTGAACCGAGATTGCACCACTGCACTCCATCCGGGGCAACAGAGCGAGACTCTGTCTCAATGAAATAAAATAAAATCCAAATTCCCAAACATGCATATAAGGCCCTTCTTAATCTCGCTGCTGCTTCCTCCTACACTTTGCCCATACTTAACTAACACCTATACTACTTGAGTTTCCCTAAGGCATCATGCTTTCTTTGTTTTTATTGTTTCATTATTATTATTTTTATTTTTGAGACAGCGTTTCATTCTTGTTGCCCAGGCTGGAGTGCAATGGCACGATCTCAGCTCACTGCAGCCTCCACCTCCCGGATTCAAGCAATTCTGCCTCAGCCTCCCAAGTAGCTGGAATTACAGGCATGTGCCACCATGCCTGCCTAATTTTTTATTTTTAGTAGAGATGGGGTTTCACCATGTTGGTCAGGCTGGTCTCAAACTCCTGACCTCAGGTGATCCACCTACCTTGGCCTCCCAAAGTCTTGGGATTACAAGCGTGAGCCCCCGAGCCTGGCCTCTTTGTTTGCTTGAGATGGACTTTAGATCTTGTTGCCCAGGCTGAAGTACAATGGTGCAATCTCAGCTCACTGCAACCTCTACCTCCCAGGCTCAACCAATTCTCCTGCCTCAGCCTCCTGAGTAGATGGGATTACAGGCACCCGCCAGTATGCCCAACTAATTTTTTTATTTTTGGTAGAGATGAGGTTCACCATGTTGGCCAGGCTAGTCTTGAACTCCTGACCTCAGGTGATCCACTCCCCTTGGCCACCCAAAGTGCTGGGGTTACAGGTATGAGCCACCACACCCGGGCAGCATCATGCTTTCTTATGTCTCTGTATTTTTATATATTCTTTGATTTGCAAGTGTCTGGAAAACTTAAGAAAGACTTTTAAATGGGTGTCCTTTTAATGGAATGTTGAGTGCTGCTAAGGATCCTTGGGAATTGTTTGTTTATATTAGTGGTGAGAGCTTTTGATTTCCTTTGACTATGTTCCTATTTTATAAGTAAGCTATTTTCTAACTTGTTGGAGTTAGAATTTGACTTTAGAATACTGACACAAATAATGCAAAAGATTTCCTGCCTATAACAATGCAAATGATTCCTGTTCTGGGTGATGCAAATGAATTTTGTCCATTTATTTCTAAATAAACAGAAATAAATGGACATTTATTTCTGTTTATTTAGAACAGACATTTATTTCTAAGTCAAATCTTCATTTGAACAGGTTTTAATATCTTACTGGTTCCCTCATTAATTAGTGAGTTCAATAAAACCTTTGAAATATGTTCATTGTATATTTATATGAGCCTCTGCCAGGCACAGTGCCTGATGCCTGTAATCCCAGCACTTTAGGAGGCAGAGGAGGGTGAATTGCTTGAGCTCAGGAGTTCAAGACCAGCCTGGGTAACATGGTGAAACCCTGTCTTTACTAAAAATACAAAAATTACCCAGGTGTGGTGGTGCATACCTTTAGTCTCAGCTACTCTGGAGGCTGAGATGGGAGGATCGCTGGAGTCCAGGAAATTGAGGCTGCAGTGAGCCATGATTGCACCACTGCACTCCGGCCTGGGTAACAGAGACCCTGTCTCAAAAAATAAAAATACTTGCATAAGGCTCATTATTTTACCTTTTCGAAAGTTATTCTTTAGCATAAACAACAGGAAGTAACCCACACTCACTGAAGCCAAAAATGAGATTCCTATGGATAGAAGGATGTATCACGATCCTGGGAAAGGAATCCAGCTGGGTAGGCCTCAGAAAGAAGTGAAACCAGCTGCTGGAAGGTCCCAAGAACCTAGGGAGTAGTCTCTTTGTGTCTAGACTTACTCCTCTGTGTGCAACGGACTGATCTTCCTTCTCAGCAAACTGTTTTTCAATGCTGTTATAAGTAAAATTTTGATGCTGCAAAAGAAATAGCACTTGAAGATAAATCCTCTCAGAAAGGCAGTTTACTTCTATAGTAGGGTGTGGCTCATGGATGGAGCAATGGTGACCACACATTTGGACAAGGGAGGAAAAGGGTACTTATTCCTGACAAGGGTTGCCCCTACTGCTGTGTCATTCCCCTATTGGCTAGGGTTAGACCGCACAAGCTAGACTAATCTCAATTGGCTGTTTTAAAGAGAGCAGGGGTCTGAGCTGGAGTGGCGGGGTGGGTGGTTTGGCAGGAAGGATGGTTACAGGATGGTCAGAGCAGGTAGCCAGGGGTGACCTAGGTCAAAGCAGGTGACTGGAGCAGATGACTGGAGCAGGTGACTGAAGCAGGTGACCGGGATGAGTCAGGATGGAGCCAGGGGCCGGGGGAACACATGTGAACTACTGATTAGAATCAGTGGAGAAATTGTTTACTGGAACTACAAGGAAGTTAAACTTTAAAATGGAGGACAAATAACTGAACATAATGACATACTGATTCTTTGAAGAGAAATTTAGAACTCATTGTATCCAAAAATGCTGCTCAGGCCAAATGGGCAAGTAGAAGATGGCTACCGCATAGCTCCTAAATTACCCTGTTAAGTCCAATTTAAGTCTGAGCAGAGATGTAGCTCTTTGTCCCCCGATTCCAAATTCTCGGAGAAGTAATTCTAATTGGCCTGGCTTGGGTTAAGTGCCCAATCTAGACCATTTAACTGGGGGATCACACTGTGCAAACAGTCTGATCTCATTGGTTCCCCACTGGCAATGCTAGCCCTCTCCACCTACACCGTTACTTAAGCCCTCACAACTTTATTTCCAACATTCATATTTGATCCTGTCATTCCTGCCTCCACAATAAGGCCCTTTCTCCCAACTCCTTAGTACTCATAGGCACTTCATCACTAAATCCTGACCGGCTCTCCTTGGCTCTCTCCATTGCCTACCACACCTCTCAATCACATCAGTCATTTTGCCCCTCAGTTCTTTTGCACATGCCAATTCTTCCTTTACCTCCCGCTCATTATTCAAAACTCAGCTCACACCACTTCTGTGAAGCCTAAAGATGTGTTACATATCATGACATCTACCTGCTTCCTTGACTGTGAGACCCATCTCTCTTTCAGTGAGTTTGGAACCTAGAACAGAGTCTGCTTAGTGGGTGATATGGTTTTATTAGTGAGATCTGAGTTACCCCAAGTTACCGGCAGCCTATCCTTATGGGTCTGTAACAATTTTAGTCCTTGCTTCCTCAAAAAGAAAGAATTCAACTGTGGGGCATAAAGCAGAAAAAGAGACCAAGGCAAGTTCCAGAGCAGGAATGGAAGTTTATTTAAAAGGCCTTAGAGGCCAGGCATGGTGGCTCACACCTGTAATTCCAGAACTTTGGGAAGCTGAGGCAGGTGGGCAGATCACTTGAGGTCAGGAATTCAAGACCAGCGGCCAAGATGGTGAAACCCCATCTCTACTAAAAATACAAAAATTAGCCGGGCATGGTGGTGGGCACCTGTAATCCCAGCTGCTTAGGAGGCAGAGGTGGAGGTGGAGAATTGCTTGAAGCTGGGAGGGGCGGAGGTTCAGTGAGCCAAGATCACGCCACTGCACTCCAGCCTGGGCTACAGAGCGAGACTCTGCCTCAAAA